CTCTCTCTCTCTCTCTCTCTCTCTCTCTCTCTCTCTCTCTCTCTCTTAGAATAAAGGTTCAAGAGAGACAGAGCGAAGTTGCCTGCGAATCTAGCCTGTCGGTTCAGGACACTCATGGCACATCCCGATATACACATTTCTAAGTGGAGAAGTTGTTTGCGAATCTAGCTTGGCGGTTTTGACTTTTCCGACCATCCCTGCGGTCCGGCATTTCTCTAACACCGGACACATCCCCTCACTCGAAGGGGACCGGCGTTTCACAAGCCCCGGTCCCTTTTCTAAGGAAAGGGGTCCGGCGTTTCAGAAACGCAGGACCCATTTGGGGGTGTTGGGGGTCCGCAGTTTGTGAAACGCAGGATCCCTTCGGGGGTGTGGGGGGTCAGGCGTTCGTGAAACGCCATACCCCTTTGTGTCTGTGTGGGGCCGACATTCGTGAAACGCAGGACCCCTTTGGGAGTGTGGGGGCTCCGGCGTTTGTGAAACGCCGGACCCCTTTGTGTCTGTGTGGGGTTCGACATTTGTGAAACACCGGACCCCTTTGGGGGTACGGGGGTTCGGCGTTTGTGAAACGCAGGACCCCTGTGGGGGTGTGGGGGGGTGCGGCGTTTGTGAAACGCAGGACCCCTTTGGGGGTGTGGGGGGTCCGGAGTTTGTGGAACGCCGGACCCATTTGTGGTTGTGTGGGGTCCGGCATTTGTGAAATGCCGGACCCCTTTGGGGGTGCGGGGGTTCGGCGTTTGTGAAACGCAGGACCCCTTAGGGGTTGTGGAGTGGTCCGGCGTTTGTGAAACGCAGGACCCCTTCGGGGGTATGGGGGGTTCGGCGTTTGTGAAATGCAGGACCCCTTTGGAGGTGTTGGGGGGTCCGGCGTTTCACAAACGCAGGATCCCTTCGGGGGCTGGGGGGGTCCGCCGTTTGTGAAACGCCGGACCCTTCGGGGGTGTAGGGGGTCCGGCGTTTGTGAAACTGAGGACCCATTTGGGGGTGTTGGGGGGTCCGGTGTTTCACAAATGTAGGACCCCTTTTGGGGTTGGGGGGGTCCGGCGTTTGTGAAACGCCGGACCCCTCGGGGGTGTGGGGGGTCCGACGTTTGTGAAACGCAGGACCCCTTTTGGGGTGTTGGGGGGTCCGACGTTTCACAAACGCAGGACCCCTTCGGGGGTTGGGGGGGTCCGGCGTTTGTGAAACGCCGGACCCTTCGGGGGTGTGGGGGGTCTGGCGTTTGTG